CACACACACACACACACACACACACACACACACACACACATATATATATATATATATCTTTCACTTTGTATGAACACAGTTTGATGATGGGATATAAACCTTTCTTCTGATATCTACAGCCATATTGTGCCAAGAGGCAGCAGCCGCCTCATGGCTAGGAAGTTTGCTGGTTTATCTAGTTTTTGTGTTAGCAGGTCCACTAAATCAGCTAAAGCGAAATACATAAAATTTCCCATTCACAAATAATTCAACCTCTTCATCAATAATAGAAGCGACTTGAAGGTGTATCCTAATTTTACTTTTCCAATTACGTTTTTTAAGTTTTTTTTCTTACTGAAATGAAAGCGCTTGCGAACTACACTTCCCAGAATTCCAAGCGGAGCTTGTTCATCAGCTACGTCAAAACTGACTTCGCTTCAATGCGGCTTTCGCTTTATATTCCTGACCTTTGTTTGTTTGTGAGCTATGGCGTCTCCCGGAACCGGTAGGTCGAGAGTTTATATCTTAATAAAAGAAGAAATGATAATTTAAACACTTCAAAGTATGCAAAATGATGTTTTAATGTCGACCGAGAGGGTGTGATAAAAAATATTTAACCTTTTCCGTAGATATGTTAGAGGTGGTTATTCATACAGAGGGTTATATGATAGTGATTGCCTGCGTATATTTACAGTCTTAGTTATTCTATAAATAAATGTATTAATACATTCAATTTCATCTTTATAAAATGGGTGTCTATATCTTCTCACTGCTTAAGTCATTTTAGAAGAATGCGGATAAGCCACTTGCGACACTTTCTTGCAATTAAACTAAAGTGGAAGCGTTTTTGCACATTTTGTGTAAATGTATTTTTAAGGTTACGTAACATAAACAAAGTCTAGATTAGGGGGGCAAGCTGGGGCAGGCATTTAAAAGATGAGTTTTCAGATTAAAAACAAGACAAAAACATTTTTTTTTAGTCCACTTGTTAAAGATTGTCTCATTTTAAACCAAACCTCTTTCCTTTCCCAGCCCGCATTCTCCTTCTTCTTCTTTGAGGACTTTTTCAGCTGCCTAATCTGTTGTTACTTTACTGCCATCTTCCGGATTTAGCCCAATACAAGGATTCAATAAGTGATTTTTGTCTCCTTTTTATGTCCTAGTCAATTTTATTAAATTAATTCTCCTTGTTTTAGTATCCTCTAAATTGTGTCCAATCTTCTTTTTTATATAATATATCCCAAATGGGGGGCTGCTCAGTGGCACAGTGGGTAGCACTGATGCCTTGCAGGGGTCTGGAGTTTGCATGTTCTCCCAGTCACACGTGGGTTCTCTCCTGGTACTCCGGTTCCCTCCTACAGTCCAAAAACATGACTGTTAGGTTAATTGATTTCTCTAAATTCTCCTTAGGTGTGAGTGTGTGTGTGAATGGTTGTTTGTCCTGTTTGTCTCTGTGTTGCCCTGCGATGGACTGGACACCTGTCCAGGGTATACCCCGCCTCTCACCCGTACACAGCAGGAGATAGGCACCAGCACCCCTCGCAACCCCGCTTGGGATAATGCGTGATGGAAAATGGATGGACTAATGATGTGTACACAAGTTTTTGTGTGCCTTTAAAGTTCCCATTCTGTAGATAGCCATTTGCCTAGTACTGTATGTAGAAAGTGTCCCGTTTCTTCATCCTATTTAAACCCTTGGATGCTGTATTTTAGAACATTCAGCTTCTTTAGAAATGACCGTTTGTTGAGGTTGTTTTTGACAGCTGTCTTCCCCTTGATTTCATGGGTTGCAATTAAAAATTTATGTATAATTTTATATTTAGTGAGTGTTATTAAAAGCTAAAGTTTATCTTCGAGGACCACTGTTCTTTGTGGCTATTTTACTTGTTGCATCGCTGCCATCATCTGGACATGTCTGTAACTACACTTTTTGTTTGTTAAATTTTAATCATTCATTTATAATCCTTTTTTTAACATGTTGTATTTACAGCTTCTGCATAAACATGATGTTGGATCCTCTTATGCAATGGAAAGTTAGCTTGAACAACATATCTAAACAGAGCTCGTCATTTTCTAATGCCAAGCCTTCTGGCTTTGTTTATGAAAAGCAAACAACAGGATTTTCTGCTTTATACAGAGCAGGACACACTGTCACCTAATTAGAAATCAAATCACACAGGCAGTGTTTAACAAGGTTTTATTGGGACTGGACTCTGAGCTGCTTGCGTTTGTTTTCAGCAGCCGTGGAGCTGAACCCCGTCCTCCAACCCCTCAGCTGGCTGCTGGGTACCTGGGAGAGTGATGAACCTGGAGAAGGAACCTTCCCCTCCATAAAACCCTTCCGCTACACAGAGAAACTGCACTTCAGCCATGTGGGGCAGCCAGTCATCAACTTTATGTAGGTTAATCCAGCAGCAGAGTTAAAACTATCCTTTCTTCCTGTTTCCTTTTGTATTTTCAGCTGATTCCTCACTTTTATCTTTAGGTTTAATGCCTTTCATGCTGAGTCCAATAAGCCTCTACACAGAGAATGTGGTTTTATTCGAATCCAGCAGGGGACCAACAGAGTAGCCTTCATCATCGCACAGAACTCAGGTAGGCCTCAACAAATTGCAGTCAGGTCTTTTGCAATCAGAACAGTCCCCAGATATTCTAAGATGTGATTTTATTTTATGAAAACTTTTTTCAAACTTTAAAGTATGAATGAAATCCAATATTATTTAAATGCAAAAAGTTAATCTGTTGTGATTATTTCAGGTGTGATTTGACCTTTTTAAATATGTTTTACGTGCTCTGTTGAATTCATTTTTTTTTCTCTTATTCTATTCCAAGTGTTCTTTTGCGGGTTTGTTTCTGCAGAGAGATTCTGTTCTTCTTGGCTGTTTTTTTAATGCTTTTAGTTCATTCACCCCTCTGTAGCATTTTAAGGACGGATGTTGTGTTATTGTATAGGTCTGGTGGAAATCGAAGAGGGGGAGCTGACGAGTAATCAGCTCAAACTGCAGACCCAAAGTCTGGGGAGAATCTCGTTCGCCAAGGAGCCCCATGTACAACAGGTAAAAATTATTGGCTGACTATTAAATCTGATGTTACTGGACATGAAGCCTTTCAGAACCTCAATTTTTAGCAGATATAATGCAGAAATTGTGCAGTTCACCCCTCCTATTGCTACTTTTTTTCAGATTTCACGAGTCTTCCAGCTTCGACCAGATGGGAAGCTGGAGCAAACAGTTTCCATGGCAACAGATAACCATCCGCTAACACAGCATCTGCACATCATTTACAGTCGGTCATCTGGAGCCAACTAGTCTTTTTTTAACCCTGTGCTTAAAGTCCAAGTAATATATTTTGAGCAGGGCTCAGAAAACCTTTTTCTCTCAGGGGTTTTTCCTTCCAGTTGTCAAGGAGTGCAAATTTGGTTTGTTGCTGGACAGGGTTCATTGTTGTTTGCAATCAAATAAAGTACTGACTGTAATCCATATGGTTCTACCGGATAATAAATGTTTAATCTAAAACAAACTTTTTTTTATTGCTCAAAATGTAGCATGAGGTCAAGAAATTAGGTCTTGTACATTTTTCTTAGTTTCATCTCAGCTTCATTATATTCACATGAAATATCAATTTTATGAATATATCATTCTATCAATCTTTACATTTTATAAAAATCCTTCCATGTTTCCATTTTACATAAATTATTTCAAATCCTGAGACAAAGTTGCTCCAAGTTATTCACCATGGACAGACACTACAATAAAGTGCCATATAGGTGTTGGTGTGAATTTGTTTATATTTTATTTGGTTTAGAAAGAAAAAAAAAAAGACACTCAACTGTATAACACTGAATGCTAGATCCATTACACACATTTGACTTGAAGTGCTTTTTGTACTGGCAGTTTTTATGCGGTGATGGATTCAATAGTCTGATAAACAAATATATAAAAATAAATAAAATCATAAATACAATATACAGGTTAAAAAGGAAATCATTAAAACATAAATCTCACATTAAGTCTGTGCAAGTCCTCTGAAAGTGTTTTAGGTTTGTTTTTTGGTTTTTTTTTTGTTTTTTTTAATTGGGAATGACTAGGAAAAAAAAGATTTTTAAACAGTTTTCAATACACTTGAAGAGAAACACAGTTTGTGCTTTGGTGAAAGTACAATGTTTTGAAATGTAAACACTTGATGCAGCCAAACTGGACTGGAAATCCTCTGTGGACCATTGGTCAGACACCAGAAACCTTCTCAGGTCCTGTTCAAGCCAGTTAAGCATCAATTTTACTGAAAATCCAGATTCCCCTCCAACTCCCCTACAAATCCCTATGTTAAAAAGAGTAGCCTCACATTAAAACAGAGACAGCAGACTTATTCCACTTTGATTAGGTAAGGAGAAGAAGCAGACAACTTGTGGAGCGTGAAATGGAAAAATAACATTAATGCTGTTAAACGTTACAGTTCTCCTAAAATCTTCACTGAAAACATCAAGGCGACTACTCTTTGGTTGAAGGGTAATCCCTCACAGGTCTGTGCAAAATACAAAACGCTGCTGCTGATGACACATTTGTCAGTGGCCATTCAGCAAAACACAGAAATGTGCTGGAAGAGCTTAAATCATCAGCTGCAGGGAGAAGCTCCATCCCAGCATCTTTTGATAAGACAAGAGATTCCAGTCCTGTATCTTCACCAGGTGTCTGCTCGCTCTGAGCAGCTCACTGCTCCTTCATGATGTAGACATACACTGTAGTGAGAAAATATTTGAAGGAATCCATGACAGATGATAGCCAAGGCCGTTCAGGGGTGCAGTCCATTTTCACCACGCACTTCATGATTTCTGCCTGAAGGGATGGAACATAAAGAGCTGATTTGAAAATGTAATTTCTGAAGCCAGCAGTTTGCTGATTTACAAAGAGATTTATGACACAAAGCTAAAAGACACCTAGTTTACTGCCCAAACCTTTCTATAATAGTGTTTAACACATGTTCAGTAGGTATTATATTATGCTTTAATAAAAAGGAGCCATTTTCTAGATTACTGCTTTATTTATGTCTTGGTGCTTAACTACATATTTGTCATATTTTCATGTAATTGTTAAGAAGAAGCAAAAATGGTTATTAGATATATTAATTTCTGCACCACCTGAACATGTACATGCAGCTTAAAACTGCTTTTCTGTTTTAAAATAAATATATTCAGACTCAAAATTTCAATCATTAACTTGATTACTTTAAATAGGCTGTAGTTGGTAGATCTATAATGTACAAAAACTACAGCAAAAGTGAAGTTTAGGAATTAAAGCCATTTCACTGATTTATTCCAGATTAACTTTTGCAGTTTTATGTAAACTAGGGTCGGTTTGCAGCATAGTCTTGCTTCAGAATTATGGCTTAGTTCCATAAAATTTCAGACAGCACAGAAGCAGAAACTCACCCATCCTCCTTTCCTCTTCAGCCAATGGACGAGAAACTTACGGACAAACTGTCCAAGACTGTCCACTATAATGTGCACTGTTGTGGGGTGTCCCTGTCTGACACAGTCTACTGCCAGGGCTCCAGCTACCGCATACATGGCTACCACTTTACCCCATGTAATACCTACAGTAAAAACACAAAAACATTGAAGATATGAGTGCATTAATTTCAATCAATAATTGTGTACTTTATGAATAGGGGCATAAAAATGAGTTTTTCACAACCAAAGTATTGCAAAACATGAGAAAACACAATTGTTTTGTCTCAGCAGCTAAAGCTGCTTCTGATTTTCTATTAGTCAATGGGCAGAGCAAAAAAAAAAGGAAATCCATTTCTCCTCATCTGGGATGCTACACTCCTGGACAAAAATCGATAAGACTTCTATTTAAAGTGATCCTTTCCAAGCACCTCTATCCTGTGAGGTTTCTGGTAATGATCATGACCCAACGCTGGACATGTACAGCCATTGGACCTTGTGCTGAAAGAAACAACGCCAGGTTCAACTGTCATTATGACTGACTGGAGGACTTCTGAAAACTGCTAGCTACACTTTCAATTAAACAAAATGAGATTAATGTCAAGGTCTAAAGCTGGGCAATTAAATGCATTTGTAATATAATTGCAATTTACCTAAATGATTTTCAAATCACAGAGGCACACGTTTTTAAATCACACTCTACTTAACGGTAAGACACTAAATTTCTCACTCCAGGCCTTTAAGTGGCGGTTAAATGCTTGAAATGAGTTTGTCTTCACACAGAAAGGCAGAGTTGCCGCTAGCATGCAGATCCATGCAAGTTTAAGTAAGAACTTTTACACTAGAAAGGTCATAGTAAGGTCCTGCAACAATGGACTCTGGGCAAGCAATCATTCAAAAACTGAAAGCCTGAATTAAAACATCTACAAGCTTGGGGTTAGTGCAAAGAAAAAATAAGATCACAATCGCAATTTTTTTCCCTTTACAACCAAACCTTTAATGTATTTCACCTAACAGACCAACACAACGCATGACAGAACTGAAAGTTGGATAGGAATTATACATTTGGATTTAAATAAATAAAAAGTGCCATGCATTTGCATTTAGCCCTCTTTACTCTGATACCCCTTACTAAAATCCAAAGGGAATAATTGCTTTTGGAAGAGAATTTATTGGTAAATGCATTCAGAGACCACCGGTGTGAAAATATATCCACCTAAAAGGACAGACCAAGCAAGATGAACAGAAACTAGAGAAGCAATGAAGACCCCATGGTAACACTGGAGGAACACAAATCAGGAATTAGAACCTACCAAAGGGGAAACTATTAATCCTTTAGTTAGGGCTGGACAATTAATTGCATTTGCTATATGATCGCAATTTAGCAAAACAATTTTCTTATAGCAGATGCACTCTAAATTAATGTAATTTGATTTTTGCCACAGTAAATTGATGTAGATGATCTACATCAACGGACTCTATACAAGCTTTCAAGATCATGAAAATAAACAATGAAATGGAGTGAAACATCTAAATGCTTGTGGTATGTAGGGAATCTGCAATAAAATCGCAGCAAAATTGCAGTATCAATGGAAAAATCATTCAGCCCGACTTCCAGGCAACAGAATAAGATAATGGAAGAGAGGCATTAAAAAGAAAAATCCAGTATGTTATCAGAGAAAACCAAACTTGAATTCTGTGGCGTTCATGGAAATCCCCACATATGGAAACAGAGAGGCTGACCAGTGCTAAATGGAGCAAATCAAAGGTGGTCAACTTTAAAGTAAAATCTGTTAGAAGCTGTTAAAAGGCCCAAGACTGAAGCAAAGGTTCCCCACCCAGCAGCACACCAACCCCAACTACAATAGAATATTTTAGATTTTAAGGTCCATCTATGTGTTAAATTAGCCCTGTCAAATTCTAGACTTAAATCCAGCTATGAATCGGTGAATAGACTTAAGAAACTATTATTCAGACATTCCATGAGATGGACAGTGTTTAAACTATTTTCAGAAGAATAAAAGACAAAAACAAAAATTTCTAGAAATGCAAAGATAAAAGGGTCATACAACAAAAGACTTGCAGGTAAATGGACTCTCAACAAAGTAATGATCTAGAGGGCTGAAAATAAAAGTTTTATTTATTTCATTATTTCTCCTTTATATTATCCAAAATAAATTATTTTACTAGTGCATCCAGGTCAGGCAGCTTTGGTTTTACATGTCAGCCACAGCAAAAAAATAAAAAATAAAAAAAAGGCTGCAAACATACAGAAATACACAATTAAAAAACTTAAAAGATTTACGGAAACCAAATTATCAGAAGCAACACCTTTTAAAAATGTGAATACAAGTAGCCAGTTCAAACAGCTGCATGCTGATGTTACAGCTTCCCTCTCTAAAATATTTTAAAGCATTCTACGAAGACCCACTCCCTTTAGGTTTAGATCATTTTGTAGAAGGTTCCAGGAATAAGGAGCTCTGAGGCCAGTGACAAACCTCAGAGCACCATGATGGGCAGAACCATGAGCTGATCACAGCATACACAGTAGCACGTCACCTAAGTCCAACAATGGCATGAATGAGCCACCAAAAAAAGACTCTTCTTGGCCTCAAAGGACAGACAAGCACAATTTCGGGGGGGAAACATGGCCAACCTAATTTCGTTTTACAAGTTAATAGATACAGAATGTAAGTAACACTCTGTTGTCAATCACAAATTCTACAGAATATATTTAATAATCTCTCTTTTTAAAAGGCATTATGTAAGTTTTTACTGAAAAATAACTTTAAAATAGCCCCTTTTTTTTCCCTTTATGACTAAAACCCTGTTTGACGATCAGACTAATATCTCAGTAGTTCAGCACTGATGCCTCTATAAGCCTGTGGTCTATTTTCTTCAATTTACTTCAGGTCCAAATCTCCTGCCCTATTTCAGCGGATATGAGGTCAAGCATATTCACATTAAATGGGTCCTTCTAGCAAAACGAAGGATTCGTTATTGAGATGGAATTTGTGGATACCAAGAAGCGACCGGCATCCAGCTCAACTCCGACACTCCATTTGTGTGGAGTTTGATTAAGAATGTCTAGGTACAATTTTCAGAGACGTTAGTTCCTTCATGAAAGCTGTCAGTAATGTCATATAATTGGGTTCTTTTGGTCCTGCTTGCTTTGTCATGCATGTTCCACAGAGCTGACCTGCAGAATCAGTGCCTATAAGGGGATAGAGCCGTGGGTGAGCTTAAATG